AAAAAATCCGACCCGCCGACCGGAATTTTGAAATACCATGTTATGCAAAACGAAAAATTAACTTTGCGTGGCCTTAAGTTAAAAACTTCTTTATATTTGAGTTAGAGTTTAGGTTAAGGTTAGGAAGTACTATAGCATAGCAAAATTACACAAGGAAATTTTTTTGTTAGGACTCCAAAGACGATTTACTACGCTAAATTTTGAGATAAATGCGATTTTTGCAAAGCGAACACTTCTTTACGTTACACCTGATCCTGATCTTTGATTGGCTGATATACATCAGAAAATCATGTGACAGTAAATCGATCCTACACCCTGGCGTTGTTAACAGGCCCCAAGTTTCTGATTCTGGCCAATCAGAATGCAAGATCAGGTGTAACGTGAAGATCAAGCTTTTTTTCGAAAAGTCACCCTTTGGGCTGGGTAAAATTTCAGTATAATAATAATATTGTTCACTAGCGTTAACCCCAAACTCTAACTTAGGTGTCACATTTTAATTAGAAGGTGATATGTAAACTGGTATGAATAATTCCAGCCAATAGAAACTTGAAGGAAATTAGTAAATGCAAATCTGTGCAACAATACATATCCGCAAAAATTCTTTTCGTCGTAATCATCTAATAATGTCGACCATGGTACACCCGTCACTCTTTGGTGTCTTGATAAAGAAAGTACGTCTGTTTTCGATATTACAATAGGAACGGACAATTATCTCTCACAGCTTAAGAAAATAATCAAGGAAGAGGGAAGACCACAATTTGATAATATTGCATCATACGAGCTTATCTTATGGCATGTCAATGTCGATATCAGTGCAATTAATGCTATTAATGATATGTTAAGTGACGAAAATAAATTGATAACATCGACAAATACGATTGGAGAAACTTTTTTCAATATCGAAGGAAGAAACATCCGTGTTGTTATCGGCATTCCTGTTGTCGGTGAGTTATTCCCGTATGTGCTTTCTTCAATCATATTGAATTGTTACTTATTCTTGAGCTTTATTTCCTGCATCCTATCACTAAATGCCACCTCAAAAATAAATTAATATTATCGTAGAACAAGCTGTTGCTGCCGGTAAGTCATAATAAATTAATTAACGCAAGCTGTTATTTTCTTCTTATACTGCTATCATTCATTTAACATTATTACTTTTCACAGAATCATCTAAGCGACAATATTCGGTTAACAACTATGAAGAAGGTCTGCGTTAGTCGGATATTTGTTTCTGCAGAATTATAGTATTAACATATTCAAATTTTATAGAACAGCGTAGAAGCGTGAAGAAAATCCGGAAATATCCTTCCCCATCTTCTTTTGCTCATATTAATTATTTGCATGAATATCAAAACTATGAACAAGAATTTCTTATTTACCGCCCTTCTGGTTGTATCTGCATACCGTTGATGTTATACAATTCTGCTTTTTTTCGTTTTAAGAGATACTTTGACGACAAAGATCTACCTATGGATAAAGACCATTATCAATGGACCATAAATTGCATTAAAACCATGGCAAATCTTTATCCGGATGAAAAATTTCGTCAGCGAGAGTTTCATGAAAGAATTCGAGAATTATTTAACAAAGATGTAAAAATACTCCAACTTGAAGATAAAACTTCAAACGATGGAGTATTAGAATTATATATACATTCGATCAATATATTATACCTTCTTATTAAGATTACAAATGAAATTGGCACAGGGAAATGTGATCCAACTATTCAGGCAGCTGCCTTCTATGCAAAGTTTTATGCCCAAAATAAATACGAAAAAATACTCAAAGGATGCAATGTGCCATGCTTTATTATAGTCTTGGCTGGGCCTTGGATATGCGTATTGGGGGCCGTTTATGTTGAAAAGCCACTTATCGAACCTCTAACAAGCTTTGAACCTCTTATCCTCACTAATGATCGAATACACTTGGAAAAAATAGCACGGCTCTTCATGGCTTTGCGCTTGGGATGTGATAATCTGATGAAATATTATGAATCATTATCAGATTCCATATTAAACGTTGTAGACTATCAACGGTTTTTCCCCTACATTCGCACTGCTAACAATGTTGGAGATTTTGTCTACAAAGAGAAACTTTTTAATGATCCACACAAACTCCTTTGGAAGGCTGAGACGAAAAGAGGTCAGACGATTATTGTTAAGTTTTCGCATAAGTACAATGCATATGCGCACGAAGTGTGCCATGAAATTGGAAAAGCACCAGAATTATTTTTTGTTTCAAACATGGATAATGGATTTTGTATGATAATTATGGGATATATTGAAGGGCAGAAACTACGCGATTGTGATGACTTGAGTTTTTCTGAATACAAAAAAATTATTAATGATATTGAAATTGCTATCTCACATCTACATTCTAAAAATATTGTTTTTGCAGACCTTCGAGATTCTAACATCTTGGTTATTAAAGATGATAAAATATATCACGGGATGCTGATAGATTTTGATTGGGCCGGTAAGGATAATGTGGAGCACTATCCGTCTACAGGAGCGACCGTCGATGTTACACGACTGATCCTTCACCCGGTGTGCAACATATAAAAAAACTATTTTACAATACCAGATCATTCCGACAGTACATGTTATGATTATAATCCCACACCATTTTTAATAATAAAAATGGTGAGGGATTATAATCATAACATGTAC